AAAGTGTTTCTCTCTCTGAAAAGTATGGATTTAAAAAACGACCCAGAAATGGAATCGTTTTAGCCACCGGTTTCTGGGTCGATAGTTTGACCATCCGATTCGAATGGATGGCCTGTTCTGACAACAAAAATAAAAATAAAAAATAATTAAAAATAAAAAATCATCCAAAAATCATTGAACGAGTCAGCGGTTTGACCGCCTGGATCAATGGATTGTTGACTGATTCAATAGTTTTTGGGCAAGGACTGGGTTTGAGGTAAAACGAAACTGGTTGCCTGGATGGTTTCCGGGCCGAATGGTCCGACCATCCGATTGAACGGCGGTTCGAAAACCATGCTGAAAGGCCCTATTAGAAGAGGGCAATAAAGTTAAAGAAAAGGAAGAGGGCAATAAAATTAAAGAAAAGGTCTACTTAAGCTATTTAACTACAAGTGTTCAATGTACTTACTTAAATGAACACTTACTCAAAAGTCGCTTATTTAAAAGCCCGTTTACAAAGGAAAGTACACCCAAAGGCAGCTTAGCTAATTTCTCCAAACCAACTCTATTAAACCAACTCAATCAAACCTTTGGTCATTCCAAATGGGCTTATAATATGACCGAGTTCAAAGTATACCAATGGATATAAATAGGACAATTTGAATAAATTGATCAACAAAAATAAATCAAGCGGTGCTAGTTTACTGATCCTACAGATAGAGGGGTTTTCTAGATGCAGGGTCTTTTTGAGGGAAACATTGTGGTGTTGGGGGTTATTTTTGCATGTTAAATTTAAAAGAAATGATATCAAGTGGTCTGAGGTCATTTTTATTTTTATCATTTAAAAATTATCTCTAGGTGTTGTGTGCTGAGATCAAATCGGCCCCCACAAGACTGCACCTCACAACATACATTTCTGTCGTATATTGAAAATTTTGGCGATGATATTATCATCTAGAGATATTCTTAATACATGGTGGGAATGTGCTGTGGTACATTCTGGGGTGCATTATTGTGGCAGCCTAATTTGAACTCGTTGTATGCTCCTTTATTTAAGAGACCAGATAAATAATTTATAAAACTTTATAGGCAATTTCTTGCAAGCATCTAAATTTTGGGGAAATTATTGGACGATTTTTCAGTAAAGTCAAAGTTTAGGGAGTTTTTAGACAATTCATTTGGGCTCAGACACTTTGATTTCGTCAACTTGCTTATGTCACAATAATAGAATAGGGAATATTCCATATTCACCCTCACACTCTCAATTATTTGTCACTAGGGACCCACCTGCCAAACCCTAATGTTGTGTTTGGTTTGATTAAAAATAAGAGAAATACAGTGGAAAAGTTTTCAAGAAATTTTCCAAAACATACATATATTTTTATAGGAAAATTTCCGATTAGTACCATGTACCTTGGGCCAAGTGCCACTTTGGTCCCCAAACTTTAAAATGCAACAATTCAGTACCAAAACCTTCAAGACATGGCAATCCAATACCTATTGTTAATTAGCTATTAACCATCTGTTAAGCGGCATTTGAAAAAGACACAAATGCCTTTCAAGTATTATCTAATTTTCTTTATCAACCATCCAAACATTGACAAAAAATTAACAGTTTTAGATCCTTGTCTCTTCTATTCAAGAAAGTTGGGGTCACCAGAATGTCCACTCAAAGGTGACCCCAACTTTCTTGAACAGAAAAGACAAGGATTTGGGACTATTAATTTTTTGTCAACATTTAGATGGTTGATAAAAAAAATTAACACTTGAAGGGCATTTGTGTCTTTTTCAAATGCCACTTTATGGCTGATTAACAGCTAATTAATGACAGATACTTAATTGTCACATTTTAAAAATTTGGGTACTGAATTATAGCATTTTAAAGTTTGAGGATCAAAGTGGCACTAGACCAAAAGTACAGGGTACTAATCAGGAATTTTCCCGATTAATGTAATCATACTTTTATTAGTATTAAAGGCCTCTAGCATTGTTTTCATTTTAGTTTTGATTATTCCATATGTCCATGTGATATTCCTCTATTTCTCATCAACGATCCCGACTCTAGTGTGATTGCTTGCGTAGGTAGCAGTGAGTAATGAAAATGGTGTTGTGTAGGCCTGAATCAACCCTCTCTTTCTCATAGTTGGCCTAGTATTGCTCCATGACTCTCAAGCTCAAGACTTCCCACAGGACTACATAAATGCCCACAACGAGGTTCGTCAAGTTGTGAGGGTTGGCCCTATGACATGGGACAATACAGACTACACTTAGAGATGAGTTCACATTGCGCCCAATAGAGGGCGCCCTACAAGAGTTTGGCTGCCGTCAGGGCAATGCCTATTCGAACAGCCTTTTCAGCCTTGCATTGGGAATATCTCCCTACTCATGTGCTTTATTTTGTGGGGAGATATTTCCGATGCAAGGTTGTAAGAGGCTGTTGGGATGGTGTGATGAGCATGGGCTTGTCCTGACTGAAGCCAATCTCGCCCCACAAGTGCTCCACACTCCACACCATATTCCAACCGTGTATTAGGAACATCTTCCAATGGCAAGTACGGATGATATTCCTAATACACGGTTGGAATGTGTTGTGGGGCACTTCTGGGTGCCCTCTATGGGGCGCAGATGTGAATTCCTCAGAGATAGGCTAATGAGAGAACCGATACTGTGAAGATGTGGGTAGATGAAAAACAATACTATGATTACAACTCCAATTCATGTGCTGCCGGAAATGTGTGTGGCCACTATACTTAGGTGGTCTGGAGAAGCTCAGTTCGTCTTGGGTGTGCTAAGGTTCACTGCAACAATGTGAAGATGTGGGTATTCTTGTTTCTTGTCTTGTATAAAACTTATATTTCTCAAACTATTCAAGTTTATTTTGAAGTGTGGTGAGGTGAAGTGAAATACTAGAAAAATTAAGAATATTATTCTTTTAATGTTCTTCGTTTTAATTACATGCAACCAAAACAGGATTAATGTCTTCTTTCTATGAATTGAAGTTTTCTCACTTGATGTCTTTAGATTCATATGTAGTCCATATACATTTGGATGTGAAGCTGTATTCATTTTGTGTAAATTGTTACAACAATCTATTATCTTAGGATGTGTTTGGTTTGGTAGACAATTAAAGAGAAACATTTGCTTTTGGCTTTTGTCCCTGGGTATAATTCGAGATTAGCGTGGTGACTTCATAGTGGGTAGGACCATCCATCTTCACAGTCCGGATGAGCTGGAGATAAAATTATACACTCCCGACTGAACTATCTATCACAATTGAATACACCAGTGCTAACTGTGAGCCCATCTGAGACCCAGCCTTTTGAACACTGGCGTATCCAACCGTGATAGGTAATTCAGCCGGATGTATATGTTTTTGTCTCCAGCTAATCTGCCCCCCATCTTCATCATTGTTCTGTAGAAGAAGCACAGGCCCAAGTAGTGTTTGAAGCTCTGTACTTGGCCAAAGATTCCGTTTGACTGGTATACAAGTGGATAATAATTGTGTCATGGGCAACTTTTAGGCCTGATATCAATAAAAATAATATTTTTTAAAAAATTTAAAAATAAGTTAACTTTTTAAAAATAACATGATAAAATCACTGCTCATCATCTTCTTCTTCAATCTATTCATCAGTGCCGCCGTCCACTGCCGCTCGCTGCCGCCTCCGCCTATTTCCGCTCGCCTCCAGCAACGCGGAGGCAGATGAAATGAACATTGGGAATCGAGAGTATCACACCAACAATCGCCTCCGAGATCATAATTCAGTGACATCCAACAGGAAATATCCAACCAGACGATCATTAAATCTAACTTACAGAACAAGAAATAACTCTTGAAATCAGAGTAAATTCCATGCCAGTATCAATTTTAAGTAAAGCAAACCTAACGAATAACAGATCGATAGAACTACTGATTGAAAGGGAATGATACATCAGGATTTGAAACTTCACAGACTTCTTATTCTGAACAGAGTTTAAGCCTTGAACAGATGAAAAAAAAGAAACTAACGCACCATGGGCAAGCAAAAGCATCATCGGAAGAGAAAACAAAAACAGATAAAAAAAGTTGCAGGGAACTGATTGATTCTTTCTAAGAAATTTCTAACAAATATGTTAATTCAGAATCGCATAAAATAAGCACAACTAAAAGAAGATAAATAACTTGTTAACCATAGATTAAGTATGTGAAATACGGTAGAGGTGGGTGTGTTAGAAACTTGACTGAAGCTGGTTCGGCAGGGAGCTTCTTCACTGGCTCCGAGAGCCAGCCCAATGCCTATAACTCCATGGCAAAAAAAAGAAACTATAACTCTATGGCAAGAAACTAGGATGGCAATAAAATCAATTTGGACGGATTGGATGGACCAACAAGACATATTGGATTGGACTAATTCCATTCGAAATATTTGTTAGATTGGATTGGACCTAGTTCGTCCGTAACAAATTTATATTGAATTGGGTTAAATTAAGCCAATATCTGGTCCATTGATACAAGATAAGAATATATGTATCAATGGACCGGGTTTGGGTTGAAAGCAATCTAAATCAAAATGAATTTGAACAGATTGGACGGTCCAGACATTAAATTAGACCGGTCTAAATTGGTCCAAAACATTCATTAATTGGATTGGATTGGACCTACTCCATTTATAATGGACTCACATTGGACCGAATCGGATTGGACTAAATGCAGTCCAATTGACACCCCTAGTGTATAGAATGTGGATTGTTGATATTTTGAATGTTTATAGCTCTACTCTGTAAATCAGAAATCTGCATTTAACCTGTACCTACTTTTCCGTAAATTTAAGGGAGTTTATAGATAATTCATTGACTCAAAGACCTTGATGAGTATTATGACGTCATGTAACTCTGCATTGATTACGTCAACTTGCTTATGTCACAATAAAAATATCCCCGTGGCTCAGTTGATAAGATCTGTATTCTTCGTTACATCCTTGACGTGGATATTCCTCTCTTTTGGGCTATAAATACTCTATCTACGCTTATATTTTATCATCAACGATCTCTACCCTAGTCTGTGAGTATTGAAAATGGCGTTGTGTAGGGCTAAATCGTCCCTCTTCATTCTGATGGTTGGCCTAGCCTTGCTCCATGTCTCTGAAGCTCAAGACTCCCCACAGGACTACATAAATGCCCACAACGAAGCTCGTCGAGCAGTGGGGGTTGGCCCTATGACATGGGACAATACGCTGGCGGGCTACGCTCAGAGATACGCCAATCAGAGGATTGGCGACTGTGCCATGAAGCACTCCAATGGACCCTATGGCGAGAACCTCGCCGCTGCTATGCCTAGCTTGTCGGGGACCAATGCTGTGAAGATGTGGGTAAACGAAAARCAGTTCTACRACTACAACTCCAACTCTTGTGCTGCCGGAAAAGTTTGCGGCCACTACACTCAGGTGGTCTGGAGAAGCTCAGTTCGTCTTGGGTGTGCTAAGGTTCACTGCAACAATGGCTGGGACTTTGTCATTTGCAACTATGCTCCTCGAGGCAACTATGTAGGGCAGCGTCCTTACTAGTCTTTACCTGCACATCCAAAATAAAATGGAGGTCTAGATATGTAGCTTCCATCATAATAAATTACAAATGATGATCAGATTAGATGGAAGGAGAGGAATTTTAGAGAAGATCTTCTGYATCAATCCTTAATACTTAAAATGAAGGAAATATGAATGACTTTCTGATCATAATTGCTTGCACATAAATTGACTATGGATGGAAATATTATTTTCTAAAAGTTCATATTTCTCAACTATTCAGGTTTGTTCTGAACTGAGGGGAGGTGAAGTATGAACTACCAGAAATATTAGGAATTTATATTCTAGTTTAATGTTTCTTCTTCATTTTAATTAAATGCAATTACCAAAACCG